ATTGGGGGGTAATAGGAGCCTATACAAGAAAAAGACCCTATAAAATCAGGACATCTGGTCACCCTAACTCTGCCTGATGGCTCGCAGACAGGGAGGTTGCCCTGGAAAGGTGACAGGTGGCAGTTTGACAGCCCAGCGTCCCCTGCCTACCGTCAACAACTCTCCTGAGGGAGCGCCCCGCCCCCTCCGAGCCGGTTCTAACTGGCTCTGTGATGGCAGTTGCTCTGCAGCTCGCGCACCCAACTCCTCTATTCGAATCCAATCGCTATCTCTTGACCCCTCCCCAAACCCGTGGGGATACAGAAAAGGCTGGTGCACGGAGGGGGAAGCGCATGCGCACCCCTCAGTAATCCCAGCACGGAAAGGCATTCTGTATGGGCTGAGGTAGATAAACACCCCACGGCCTTTTCCTCCCGCCCTTCCTCGCTTTGGCGTTCTCCTCCTCCGCCTCATTGGTTGAAATGAGCTGTTGGTCCTGTCAGCAGGCGGGGAGAGTTTCCCCCTATTGGGTTGATTGAGTATGGCGCATGCGCAGTCCATATTGTGTTCCGGTGGGTGGGTGTGTCTCTCTTCCCTAGCCCTTGTGTTTAGCGCGTGCGCAGTCTGCTCCGTGCGCTGGGTCTGCAGGCTGGCGCGCGCGTACCATGTGTGTTTAGCGTTTGGGAGGCGGCGGGCTCTGGTTTGCCGGTTCTGTCTCCGCCCCCGTCGAAGAACTGCGCGGTTGGAGCGGCCAGGGGTGGGCTGTTCCTGCCACACGCTCCCGGCCATTACGGCCCCGGGGGTAGCGGAGCCCGGGCTATGACCTGCTACCCGGGCTTCCTATGCGGCTGCCGCTGCGCAGCCAGCCGGGCGGCCGCCCTGCACTCCCTGCTGAAATACCAAGCAGCGGCTGCGGCTTCCTCTCTCCTGGCCGGGCTGCCGCTGTCCGGCGGGCTGCAGCGGCGCCTCCTCACGCGCAGCCGGCTGAGCCCGGCCGAGTCGTTGCTCCCCTCCTTCGCCGCCGCCGGGTTCCCACCCCAGCGCCTCCTCCAGCAAGAGAGCTCAGGCTCGCCTGGACCAGGACCTTTCGCGCTGGGCCAGCAGAGCTCTTCTGGGTTCGCCCTGTCGCGGCTGGATCAGCGGCGGGGGAGGAGCGCGGGTAGCGCGGGGCTCCCCTGTGGCGGTGGGTTCCGCCCCAGCCGGGTCGTGGTGGTGGCCAAGACCACCAGATACGAGTTCGAGCAGCAGCGGTACCGCTACGCGGAGCTCTCGGAGGAAGATCTCAAACAGCTGGTGAGTGCGGTACAGCTCATTACCCCCAGCCAGGCTGGTACCCTCGCCCCTACGGTTCTCAGCGGGCACGATGCCCACCTAGGGTAACCTCAGCCACTGCCACCTGCTCCAGCTTCACCTGTTCAGGGAAACAGGCCAGATTAGCCCCTGATAAAGCTCACTTTTCAGGGGGCATAGGCAGGTCTATAGGCACCTAGAGTCAAATAACTGTACTGGATAAACTCAGTATCGCCTTGGCTCCAACCCGGTAGGGTAGAGGGTAGGGAGGTGCACTGTTACCCTTCAGTTTGAGAGAAACAAAATACCATGAGGTAATGGGGAGAGGATAGCTCAGTGGTTTGAGCATTGGCTTGCTAAACCCAGGGTTGTGAGTTCAATCCTAGAGCGGGCCACCTAGGGATCTGGGGCAAAATCAGTACTTGGTCCTGCTAGTAAAGGCAGGGGGCTGGACTCAATGACCTTTCAGGGTCCCTTCCAGCTCTATGAGATAGCTATATCTCCATATATTAGTATATCTTTTATTGGACCAAATTCTGTTTGTGAAAGAGGCAAGGTTTCTATCTCTGTGAAGCTCAAAAGCTTGCCTGTTTCACCAGCAGAATTTGGTCCAATACAAGTTGCTACCACACCCATCTTATCTTTCTCATTTCTTGGCACCAGCTGTGCTACAGCAACACTACAAACAACCATGCAGATTCACACACTGCTTTCAGACATTAGCACACGTTTGTGAAGCTTGGGTTACAAATATGGCAGGTGACCAGTTTAGATTTAAACACCAGCGTTACTAATTGGGTTAATGAAAACAAATTATGTAACATTTCAGCAAAATCTAGACTGTGTGAAAATATCCTGATAGTAGGAAGTTGAATACAGGTCTGTCGCATCTTACGCGCATTTAACATGCACGATTTCAGCTTTACGCGGTTGGCCAAAAAAAAAAAAAAGAGAGCGAAAAATAACAATTTTAATACTATATCTGTAGTGTGGGCGATTCCGCCCGCCATTCAACTCAATGTAATTTTGACTATACGTGGTTTTCGCTTTACGCGCTAACCGCGGAATGGAACCCCCGCGTAAAATAAGACTCGCCTGTACAACTGAACTGACCATAATTGCTCAATACCAGCTAGAAAGATCCTTTATGGATTATTCACCAAAGTAACAGAAAGGGAGATATGTCAAAGCAGGGTGGATTTGATTTAAATCACTAGTCAGGAAGACTCGATTTAATCATGGATTTCGACATAAAAGTGTATTCTTGTTGGTTGTTATAACCTTAATACATATTCTTCACAGGTAGAGGAACTTCATTAAAATATTCCCAAACTGGGTCTCTTTTACGGCCTGCTGCCATTATAGGTTTTCCCTTCTAGTGAGAGGATGGTATGGTAGATCTCAAATCAATGAAGGCTACACTCAGAAAGACCTCAAGACTTCTGGAATATGCTGCTCAAACAGTGTCACTTCTGTTTCTACTGCCTGTCCCTCCCTTCTCACATTTATCTCCAGACTTCTTCTCCTTGTCTAGATCTATTCCGCCCCCCAACAATTTTTATTCATTGAACTTTTTGAAACTTTGCACTTTTAGAGAGAGATAAGGGATTGACTCTGTGTACACAAATCTGCAGACTAATAATAGGGTTGAGGTCTCTTATTTCTCACCTCTATATATTATTTATTTAAACCCATTTTTTCTGTTAACAAGCATGTTATCTCTGGAGACACAATTCCACAGTTTGAGAACTGCAAAACTAAGCATCTCTGATGGTATCTTCTAGACTGAGCACTGAGTCCCACTGGGTAGATAGAAAGATTAACCTAAATAATCTATACAGAAGCCCCTGGAGCCCCATAAGATTGGGTCCCTAATCTATGAACTATTGGAACTCAATTTACAAATCTTTTCTTAAACATTACATGAATATATTGTCTCATACTATAGAATTAGAATTTATAATCCCTATTCCATGATGAGATATCTTTGAGCTATAATGTATCTTAATTAAAACTATCTTTCAGTAGGTTTTTTCCTAAAAAGCATTTTATAAAAAAAATCCGATTTAAATAAAAAAAATTACTTTTTTTTAAATCATTGATTTTTATCCGCCCGGTGTCAAAGTAGAAACTGATTTGCTGGCAGCAGCGTCACAGCCATGCACACAGTACAATCTTTGTGCACTTGTTCTTAAAGTTTGAGATTATTGGGGCCAGCTTCATCATACAAGCAGTTCCTAACCCCTAGTATTCTAAGCGTTGGCCTGTCTACTTCATTCATGAGCATATGCATTGAACTAGGTGCCCGGTTCCCATTTATTGTGTGTTTGAATCTGCCACTTTACAGCGCTGCAACTTTATTGCTCAGGGATGTGAAAAACACCCCTGAGCGCTGCAAATTTCAGCGCTGTAAAGTGGCAATGTAGACCGTGCACAAGTGCTGAGTCGTGCTCCTAGTGCTGGTACCTACTCCCCTCGTGAGGGTGGTTTTTTTTTTTTTTTTTTTTTTTACAGCGCTGGGAGGGCTCAGTGCCGTGACTACACAGCCACGTTGTGGCAGCGCTTTAACATTGCTAGTGAAGACATACCCTTAGTCTGTTAGGTCTATTCCGCATCTTTTTCACAAACTAAGAGCAGCAACAGATTTAACTCATACACCTTTTATGTCTTTCCTCTTTATAAAGAGTGCGTTAGAAGAACATAAGTCTGTTGTTAAACACTTTTTGTTTCTTGTGTGTTTTTAAATTATACCTCCTGTGGTAGATGGAATTGACAAGGTTAATCTGTCCAATAATACTATGATATGGTAATTTGAAGGCCTCATGTAAATTACTAATGTAAATTAGTTACATTTTGTGTGAGAAGTTCCAAGAACTACTAATGAGCTACAGAGAATTGTCCTAATATTTGCCTTGCTTGTGTGGTGATAAAGGCTGTATGTATGATTAAGTTCAATCAGAGAAAGGGATTCCATTTTGTCCTTAGCTCTGGGTTTCTAACCTTATTTTTAGGCTTATGGGGGCCGTTTTTGACTTCTCCCTCTCCTGTCACTATCACAGCTATTTCCCAAATGTGTCATTTCCTTTTTTCCCTCAGCCAGATCTCTCATTTAGGTTCTTCTATCCCACCCCAACTACTACAAAATCCTCCCCTTAGGCCTCACAGAAGCCTACTGTTGTCAGTTGAGTACATACAAAATGCAATTAGTTGTTAAAAGTAACTTTTCTTGTCTATTCTCACTTTCTTTGAATCCATCTTTGAAACCCCATGTGCTATATATAGCATCTAATATAGCTTTTTGTTAGCACATTCAGTGCATTATAGAACTCTGCTCTTCCCTACTTAAATTCCCTTCTCTGCCAGTGCTACTACCCTCATCCACCCGGTCGTCACTGTCTCAGTCATTTGTCACCATGCCTTCTTCCAACTGGTCCCTGACTTTGACCTTCCTGAGATCATCCATAAGACCTCTACTCTTTGAACATTTAAGTCCGTTTTAAAGACCCTATTCTTGTTGTGCTGCCTACAGCGAATCTAATTGACTTGTGTATATATTTAAAAAAAAAAACTTTTTTTTTTGCCATTCCCTAATCACTTTTCTACTTCTCCATAGACTGTGAGCTCTTTGGTGTAGAATACATACCATCTCAAATGTTTGGAAGGTGCTTATGTTTATAGGTGCTATCTTAAACTAATAATAATTTAAGGCAGACCTCTCTCCACTTAGATTAGCCTTCACAATTGTTATGAACATGTAACACTCCAGACTGTATGTGCCCACTCATGGAGGTGACACACTAAATTTAGGATTTGTCTGTATGGGAAATTCACTGATGTAACTGTAGCAATATAATACTGCTATAGCATTCTTTGTGGATGTTCTTATTCTGGAATAAGTGCCTTTTTCTGGTTTAGCTTGTTACATCATAAACTAAACTGGAAAAAGGCACTCTTGTGCCAGGATAAGAGCATCCACATTAGTATAGCTGTATAATTCCAGCTGAGAAATTCCCCCAGTAGACAGGGCAAGTAAGGGCTTAGTTATGATTTTCAAGGTTGATTTAAGACTTTGCTATGTACATGTATGTGTTAAAAGGGGCTTGTGCGCTAAGATACTGAAAGTTCCTCTTACCTTGTGCCCCCAGGCTTCTAATTTTGGATGTTCCCATTCCTTGAATTTTCTTCTGTTTGTAGAATTTTCTGTTTGCTTTGCTCAAGTTGTCAGGTTCTACTTATGATTGGCTCTGCATGTTTTTTCTTAAACCTGAGCAAGTAAACAGAAATCTCAGTAAATGTGCTGAGTAGGGGGTAGGGTATGAACATGGAGTAATGTAGTTTAAGACTTAATCATTACCGTTTCGTTTTTCAGATATGACCTCTTTGAAGTATGCAAGGACATCACTTCCTCGGGCATAGTACTTTTGTTTACACACCTTTCTGCCTTGAAAAGCTTACTGTTGTTTTTTATACATGTTTAATGTTCTGACTGAATATACAAGGTTCACCTTTTGGATAGAACATTTTTTTTTAAATTGAGAAATGATCTACATTGATCAGTTCAAGAGACAGTTTACTACTTCCTGTCTGTATAGCTGAGTGAGATGGAAGTGCAGAATTCTGGATGGGGGAAGTACTTATACGGGAGAAGTTCTCTTTCCTAGTTGTCTGGCATGGAAATCCTATATGCCTAACTGCAACAACTTTATAACCTGTCTCTTCCATTTTTCTTGTCCAGAGAGCAGAATTGTTAATATTAGCATTTCAAAAGTCACTGTTGATGTTCAAGAAAGAACTTTGGCTATGGCTACGCTACAGCTTAAGTTGACATACATTGTCGCTCAGGGGTGTGAATTAGCCACCTCCCCGAGCAACCTAATTTATGTCAATTTACGCACCAGTGTGGGTATGCTATGTCAGCGGGAGAGCTTCTCCTGCTGACACAGCTACCGCTGACAGGCTGGAGTAATTAACCCTCCCCCCCCCGGTTGGCTTAGAGCGGCTAT